AAATAGATCAGAGACCTAGATAGTTGATTTAATAGTTTGAGGACGTAGATGAGAAGGAGCCAATAGTTTGAGGACCTACAGTGCATTTTACTCTTTTCTTTGTTTGGAGAGTGCGTGCGAGCCTTTGGGCCGAAGTGCAGTGGAGGAGCCGAAGTTAAATTTCCATTTTATTAGGGCCGAAACATTCATGGAGAGCGCGTGCGAGCCTTTGGGCCGAAGTGAAAGTAAAGTAGGATCTCCCTTCCACGGGCCCAGGCTGAGTAGCAACCCATCCTTTCCTGTGGTGGCCTGGTGGGCTTGTGTGCATAGGCTGGCTGCTGGCAGCGTGTGATAGTCGCCGACGAACTCATTGTGCGGCCATGCATGACTGTTGACTGGAGCGGCAGGGTCAGCCGGTCAACTCGCTATTACTGCCCTGTCCCTCTCTGTCAGTATCGATCGCCTTCATCTCCCTGTCGATCGGTAGATGGATGATGTACAAGTAGCAGTGCCAGAGGCAAGAATTCCCCGATGTACTCCTGCCGTAGTAGGATAGGAGGTTTGTAGTAGAAGTGTCCGAAACAGAGCAGCAAAAAACCGTCCAAGATCAGAGCCATGTAGCAGGCTACCAGAGAGAGAGCAGGTGGATGATAAATGAGAAACCGTGGTGCGTCGGTCCAAGCAAAAGATTGAACGGTCACCACCCAGAAGAGAAGCAACTCGCCATCAGATGACGGTGGTAGTCTGTTGGGCACGGACGACGACGAGACAAGCAGTAGTCCAGTCCAGTACGTGCGCCTGCCCAACCGCTTTTCGTTGCTAGTCCCGGCGCTAACCAAATCCGCGCGCTCGTCCAAAGCTAAGCTAGCGCTGCCTGGCCCGATGGATCCCGGCACGGACAACGGAAACAAAGGCCGTTTCGCGCGCGGCCACCCACCGGCCACCGACGGACCGGACGATCGATCCGCCACGGCCGAATCATGCGTGCCGCGCTTCTCAGTCTCAGCTCGCGTACGGTAACAGGCCCGCCCTCGATGGATGCGGTGATCGATGAAAACGAAATAAACCGAAAGGGCAGCGGCAGGTTCAAAGTGCCGTGCCCACGCATCCGGCGCCGCTCCCTCCGGGCTCGGCTCGAGCGCGCGACGCCGCCCGGTCCCGGGGTGTGGGCGGAAACGGAAATGAATGATGTCCTCTCCTCTCTTCCCGGGCGGCGCGCGAGAATATGATTCGCGCATGTGGCAAGCCAGGGGCCGGCGTTGCGATCCACTCACCGATCCGGCCGGCGCGGCAGGCACAGCCGCACCCAACAGCGCTGTCCACTCAAACACGCCACCGTACCGTGCTACTACTGGATATGGTATGCCGGATCAAACGGATACGTGCAGTGCGGTGCGTGCACACGTGTGGTCCGCACGAGACGGACACCGCCGGTGTGCAGTGGTAATATGGGCTCGTGGCTCCGGCCAACCGACCGTGACAAGAGGCGAGTACAGTGCCCGTCTTGACTGCCGCTGATCCTACACGCACTGTGCTTTGACTCTTCTATAGCACAGTCTGCACGCGCGTGCGTCACCGCAAAGATGGACGACGATCGACGCTTTGCGCCTCTTCGCTTCTCTTATAATTCGTTTTTTTCAACTTTGCTTTTTCAACCGTAAACGGTGTTTTTCTCTCTCACAAAATTAAATTTTAACAATATTTCGATTTGTTTTTTCAGCGAAGCGAACGGAGCCTTTTTGTTCCTGTTTCTGTTTTTGTTTCTACAGGTTGTACTAGTACTAGCGTTGGTGTTCCGGCAACCACTGGCAGGAATGATCCCGTCCGTCAGCCTGGCCGTCCGGCACAGAATCATTAGTTAGCGCACGCGATGATGCCTTGCCTGCTCCAGAAAACGCTGAGCCAGCCCCCAGCCCCCAGCCCCCAGCCCGGCCAGCCGGGACGCGAACCGAATCATTCGCAATCAGCTCGCCGTCGCTCTCGCCGATTGAAAACGCAGCACAGCAGGTCCCGGAGATGGTTGCATCGGCTGGGGTCGGGTCCAATCCAATCACAGGCAGCAGCCTCAGCGAAAAGACTACTGGATGCTGCTCCAGTTCCACTTCGCCGTGGAAGGGAGCTGAGCTGCCGACGCCGGCCTGCGGGCTGCAGCTGCAGTAAAAAACTGGAAACATTTAATACTCTGAATCTCTGCTCATACACGACGTATGATCTCTACAGTGCTGCTAATCCCTGCAGTGGAAGCGCCGACGACTGTGCAACTGTTGCACAAGTGCAAGTTCCCAGCGACAGGAGAATCGACACAACAGTTCACTGCACCCCGCTTCTCTTGTTTGTACCGTACTATCTTCATTCATCACTAGACCGACGCCGACCAGTAGCGCACTCAGGTTATCAGGGGGTGTTTTGACGCACGAAGTAAAGTTTCAGTTTTGGAGGTGGCACAGATGTCAAATGGAGTGTGGTATGGATTGCTCGGATACTAATAAAAAAACAAATTATAGAATCCGTCAGTAATTCGCGAGACGAATTTATTAAGTCTAATTAATCCGTTATTAGCACATGTTTACTATAGCACCACATTGTTAAATCATGGACTAATTAGACTTAATAAATTCGTTTCGCAAAGTAGTCTCAATCAATCTGTGCATTTAGTTTCGTAATTAGTCTATATTTAATACTTCATATATGTGTCTAAATATCCAATAGAACAGCGACTAAAATTCAAGATGGAACCAAACACCCCCTCAGACGCAAGGAAAGCAGCCGAGCTCCTGCCGCTGCATCTGCGCACAGGATCTAGTAGGATGTAGTACTCCTATTAGATACAGAGTACGTACGCAAATAGCCGAGTAACCAACTGCGTATCCGTCCTTTTAAAAAAACTCTCTCTGTTTCAAATTACAAGACGTTTAGATATTCTAAGACATTATTTTTGCTATGCATCTACACATACTGAATATTATGTCTAAAAACTCACTTCATGCTCATCCTCCACATGTCAATCAGTCTGTTCGCTGGTTGGGTTCTGGGCTGATAAGTCCGGTTGATGCTAATTTATTATGAGAAGAAAATACTATACCATGACTGATAAACCCTGGCTGAAACCAACAAACGAACAGGCTGAATAAGTCTAATCCAAATCTGATATGACAACTCTGTCCTGATGCCGTTCACGTTCGGTATGTAGGGAGTGTTTGGTTCTTAGCCATCACACGCCAAACCACATCCAAGGCTACCACATTACTGTTTGGTTATTGATTAAAGTTAGGCATTTACAGCTTTTGCAGTTCATTTTTCTGCCACGTTTGTGGCGCTCGATTTCGCCACCACACATGTGCATGGCGTAGTTTGTCTAGGAACCAAACACCCTCGTAAACTAGATTCACAACATATGTTCATACAAGTCAGAATAACTCATGTCCAGTATGAGTACGAAGTACGATTTGAAGACATAATGGGTTTCATTGCAACCTACGAGCACGGTTGCTAGTAAATTTGACATGCTAACTAGTTTTATTGTTTTAATAATAACATAACTAATGAAAACAACTTTGAATGGCATAAAGCCCTACACAAAGGAGAGAGAGAGAAAACAATTAAAAATAGTGCTACGGAAGTGAGAGATAAAAGTTTTATGGCACATATAAGAAATCGTTTTTTTTTTGTTTTTCTACATATTAGAATTCGTTGAGTCTCGTCGTCGTTGCATGCTGCATGCGTCGCCCCCACAGCCACAGGGTGCAAGCCCACAGGAGGATCAAAGCAGATCCCTTTGGTTTTGAATAGAGAGGCAGCTAGCGAGCGTCGTGTCGTAGACTTTGCTTGGCCCCCGTTGGCTGCTGTTGTCCCCTCTCTCGATCGATCGATCCCCTGCATTAGCATGCCACCGTACCGCACCAAAAGCTGCTGCCTGCGTCTGCCTCGCCGAATGCCTTTGCATTGCATGCATGGTTCTGTGTCACGGTTCACACTCCAAACAAAGCCAAATGCATGCACCTCGTGTGCTAATTCGACCTCTGCTGGTTTAGCTCCAGAGTGACTGACGACGCCGAGCTCGGACGGAGAAATCTGAATTGAGCTCGATCTCCACGGGGACAGAGACCGAGAGACAGACAGTGAGCGCTGGCCGGTACGGTACGGGCTGGGAAGTGGGAACCAGCCGGCTGGTGAAAAGCTGGCTGTTTCTGAATGGCTCTCACTGAATTGAGTCACTGTGATGCATGTCTGTCTGCGTCCTGGAGTAGAGTAGCTGGACTGATAAGCCACAGTAAAAGTATCGTTGGTTGATTTATTATGAGAGAAAAATATTATTTTTTATCTGAAAAAATACAATTATAAACCAAACGATCGGAGCGTTAGCTAGCTCCTCTTCGCTTTCGGTCAGTCACCTTCGTGGAGTTGGGACCCTCTCCTCCATCGCGGGTCTTCAGTCCCGTCCCTCGACCTCTTGTGTGGTGTGGTCCAACAGAGTGTCCAGACCAGACACGGCCTTAGGTTTCAGAACCTAGAGATTACACGTACTATTTCAAATTATTTGACTTCGTGCCTTGAGCTTGTTCGGCTGAAACTTACGGTCGTAAACGATCGTAAATTTTCAAATAAAATAAGTATTTTCTCTCACATCAAACTAAATAAAGTGATCTTTCTTTCTTCACGATCCAAAGAATCGAACAAGCCCAGTCAAACGAATAGGCTGCTAATCAATCCTCGCCCGAGCATCAAATGGAATGGACGGAGGCTAGCTGTTCGTCTCTTTCACTCTCACTCTCACTGATGAAAATGGTAGACTGACTCTTGAATGAATTTCACTCTGAAAAAATATCTGACACATAATAAGGTCCCTTTGGAATGTACCGTAGGGAATTTTCCTATTTCATGGGGTATGTTTTTCCTATGAGGCTGAAATAGTAGTTCCCGTAAAATTACTGTATAATTCCTGAGCCCTAAATAAATCTGTCAAGAAAACGCAGGTGCTATAAGAAGGATTTACTGTACATGGTCCATTTTGCACATTCCAAATGGAACACTGTATTCCTGCTAGGAAGTTAGTTAGGAGTGCGGGTACAGTCCCAACTTGCATTCCTATTTTGTAGTAGTGGGGTTAGCTATGTGAACTTTAATTTTGTGAGCATACTACCGATACCAGACAAGCAAGCAAAGACGGCCACAGCAAAGGTGCAGACGCCAAACGGATTGTGGTAAGCTGCCACTCGCGCTTTCCACGGCATCCTTTCTTCGGCTCCCACCCGCGCCAAACTTTTCCGCCATAAAAAGTGCGCGCACGGCGCCGCCCTCATCACTAGTCAGTCACTGGTAGTCCACACCACAGCTCCACACTCCCCTGCTGGCGTGGCGCTCGCGCTGCCAGTGCAACGCTAGCGGAGGATGAGCTCCTGGTTCCACAGGCTGCGGCGCAAGACAGCCGGGGCCTCGGCGATCGCGAGCGCCGCCGCCGTCGCCGAACCCCCGGCGCCGCCTCCCTGCTCGCCGAACAGGGCGTCCTACTACGTCCCAAGCCGGGACCGCGCCCTCGCCCTCCCGCGCCCGCCCGGCCGTCGCCAGGAGGACAACCCAAAGCTCCGGGACACCCGCTTCCCCCGCGCAGCCCGCAGCCGAGCGACATCGTCTTCGACGTCGTCGCCGCCCGCCGCGACGACCAGTTCAGCGCCGCCGCCGCGCCGGAGCTCAAGCTGCGGCCCATCCTCACGAGGCTGCCGCCCAGGCCAGACGCCGACGCCGACGCCGACGCCGGCGGCGGCAGCAGCAGCGCGGCCGCGTCGCCCACGGGCAGGGCGCGCCCACCACCACGGTTCCACACCGCGAAGGGCGGGGCGGCGCCGCCGGACCACCATAGGCGGAATAAGGCGGAGGAGGAGGAGGAGGCCTGCACGCGGAAACAGAGCCGGAGCCGGTGCCGGAAGCTGCGGCGCGCCGGCAGGCGCCGGTGGGTGTACGAGAGCCTGGTGGTGGTGAAGGAGTCGGCGGACCCCGAGGAGGACTTCCTGGAGAGCATGGCGGAGATGATCGCGGCCAACGGCGTGCGGTCGCCGCGGGGACTGGAGGAGCTCCTCGCCTGCTACCTCGCGCTCAACGCCGCTGACCACCACCGCGCCATCGTCTCCGCGTTCCGCCGCGCGTGGCTGCACCTCCACCTGCACTGCGCGCCGCCGACGACGCCGACGCCGACGCCGACGCTGGCGAGGGGACAGCGCTGCATGCATGAGCATGAATCGTGCGTCGTTGTAGATTAGCTCTAGCTAGCTAGCTCTTCTTCAGTCTCGGAGAACTCACCGATCGCTGCACGGAGCTAGACGCAAAGATCGCGACGTGCGTGCTCGATCTGCTGTACAGAGTGTGTATGTATGATCCGGGACGCGCGCGCGCGTTCATGTGAATTGTGGTTATGAGCTACTAGCACAGTTCTTGCACAGATCGCCGAAAAGACCTGCTGCTTTCGTTTTTTTGCTGCGTCGAAACTTCACTCTTGTTTGGTTGTTGCTGATGATGATGTGATGCTGCAAAGCTGAAGGATCGATCCGTCGATCGGCTTGTGCGTCGTCACGGGGGTGTCGCACCACAGTTTCGGTGTTTCTTTCTTTCAGGAAAAGGGTGTCGACGTGTCGACCGTACATCAGGCTGCTGATCAACAGCCTGTTCGGGAGGCCGTATCGTATCGTGAATTATTTATGGATTATTTACTGCTGACTGGTTTGGTGTGAGAGAAAAACACTGTTTCCGGCTGGAAATTTACGATCGTTTACGAGCAAGCGAACATGCTGCAACTTGCTGCGTCAGAAAAAAATTGGAATAACTCGTATCTTTTTGTGTTCTTCTATCTTATGGACCGATGCTATGGACAATAGGTCAATAGCGCTACTCTACTTCTTTCTAGTTTAGGAGATATAAGCTCCACAAATTCATGGGTAAATTAGAGCCACGTGTAACCAAAACTGTTTATCACTGCACGCTCGCCCTCTTTAATTTGTTTATATTTTAACACAATAGCCATATAGATACCATGCTTATGTTGCACTTGATACTTTATATACCTTTTTCGTATCCCAAACCACACTTTTCCCCTTGCATCGCACCTCATAGAAATAGATATTACTGTTCCCTTTTGCATACATGTATAGGTGGTGTGAGTGGTGATACCGTGATACGCATCATGACACTATAGCTACTTTGAGATATTTTTATAGTGACAGCAGGTAACTTAGATGCAGACTTGGGGTTATTTGAAATTAATTTTATGAATAATGGACACGGGTACTTTGAGTTTTTGTTTTCAGTTTAATAACCTCTCCTGTTTCATAAAAAAATAGGCATAGGTAATCTAGATGCAGAATTGGGAATTATTTTTAGAATATTTTTAACAACGAAGAAGGTGTGTTAGATGCAATTTAGGGGTTGCCTTGCATTATTTTTTTATAATGTCATTTATGGGATTTACTTCAAGTTATTTTTCTATTGTAGAGGACACGACTAATTAGATGTCAAAATTTAGGATGTTAGTTAGATTAGTTTTCAAAGAAGATATGTGGGCGAATTAAAGAAAGTTCAGGGCATTAGTTTGGGTTGTTTTTCATAATGATAGATGTGGGTATTTTAGATACAAATTTAACTAGGGGTTATTTTAGATATTTTCATAACAACTAAGTAGGAAATTTCTTCTTTTTTTGAAAACACAATAGATCCAATGGGGACTCTCTTGTCAATAATGATCAGAATATACCAAATGGATGGCCATGTGTTTCTAATTTTTTTTGGGAACTTATAGAATTATTATTTTGTTATTCTAGTGCGTCTCGTGAGGATAATATTAATGCCTCAAAAGGTGTTCTGAATCAGTAATTTTAAGATAGTTTTCACCCACACTCATATTTTTTTTTCATTTGATCTCCTCGTATTTGTTTGATATATGTTGAGTTAAATCTCTCTCACGTGTTCATATTATAACGTTGAACTTATATGGATACTGTCTTATCTTTATGTGCTACACCACCCGAGTTTTCACCGGAGAGTGGCCCCAAAGTGGTTGTTTTTTCTGGCTGCAATCATACAGAACTCATCAGGATTTCTAGCTGCAGTCATATATAGAACTCATTAGGATTCCACCGTGCATTGGAGCTTGACTCGGTGAGGTTGTTTTTAGTCGTCCAGAGCATTACAAAACTCACCGAAAAGTTGGGATTTATCCAGTGCATCACCGGAGCTATCCGATGCTCTTGATTTCAGTGAGTTCAGTTTGAAACAACTAGTTTATGTTGTGGGGCTATATATACTTGCTCTCCTGGTCATGGGGATTAATTGGGGAGCCCTCTTGGGATACTTGGAAAGCCTCATATACATAATAGAGCATAAATTGAGGATCCACTCTCATAGAGTTGCTTGGGATTGCATATTTGGAGAATGAGAGTAACATTCTAATGATAAGTTTGAGAGATTGATGAAGTGGCACTAGGTGGTTGATTTGTAAGCGGGTTTGCTTGTTACTCTTGGAGTTTGCTGCCTCCTAGACAGTTTGGAGCTGCAAACTCTGTTGAAGCACTACAACAAAGATTGTGTAGGTTCTCGAGAGGTTATTTTTGAGGGGCTCTTGTGCTTATTCCCGCCGAGAAGGCGAAGATCAGCTATAGTGGGCATCAAGATATTGAGTAGCACATTGGTTCTATCGAGTTCAAGACAACCTTGCGGGGTTGGAAGCTTGGTAGAAAAGCGGTGAACATTGGGCCTACCTTAACATAGATTAGGGGTGATTGACAAGTTATTGATACTACATGACGGTATAAATTCTTCTATATATCTTCATTGTGAGTATCTATCGAGGTCAAGTTCGTTTCGTTTATACTTTATGTTGTTTACATTCATAGACTTGAATTACTTACTTGTCACCTTAGGTTGCAAACCTCACTAATTAGGAAGGACTATACGTGACTCTAATAAATTTTGCCTAGTGTGTTTGTTTTCAGTGATCACCGTCCATCCACGCTCATTTAGCCGGTTCCTTATATCCTACACATTCATACCTTAATGAATAATGGTGGAGATTTTATTGAAACTAGGGGGGCCAATGCCCCCTACCTCCAACACACCCTGACCAACAACACATCTTCTATTTCTCTATAACCTGCCTAGTACTTCCGAAAGGTCTTCCAGAAGCCATATCACCCTCACAAAACTATGAATTAGGCGATCTATATAGGCGAATTGAAGACTTCAACAGGTATGCATCTAGAAGGTTCATCTTATGAATATTTCCATTTGAGGTCATCTCAAGGTTGCGTTGGCCGACACAAGAATAGTGCGGGCTGGTCTTTTCTAAGTTTGGGTTTGGTCTTCGCGTGTTTCTTGCTCTGGCTTCCATAATATCCATGCATGCCTTCATTGGTCGTCGACACATTGTTTAATTCTTGATCCTAACTATCCAAACAAATTAAAGCATATATCTCCGATGGAGATCAGATGAATCTCGTCGAAGATCTTGGATTGTGTAGTAGTGAAGTAACGCTTGGAGTCATCCTGGGCCTTAGGACTTTCCTGGAAGTTGCGTTAGGGGGCGCGGTGTTGGCGCCATCCGACGCTAGGCCGTGCTTGGCCTGGTCCATTCTAGTGAAGCCTCTTCATATGTGGTGACTCCGGCCTTTTTCTGGTCATGCCAATAAGTCCTCATTTTGAGGTAGTTTTACCTAATTTTGCAACATACTCTGAAAAAACACAAGCTGTATTACAAGGACAGTGTTAGCTCCAAATGATATAAATTTAATGAATTTAGAAACATGAAATTGTTATATATATATATATATATATATATATATAATTTACACTACCTCATGACAAACACTTCGTGAGATGTTTTGCATACCGAAGCTTAGACCTGTTGATATTGGCGTGCTCAACATACTCATGGATTGCTTACCCTAGAAAAAGTCTAGAGAATATGAGTTTCCAAACTAGCTCTAAACATGGAACCATAATTGGTCTCTTCGACTATTGCTACGCTAGTGCCGATCTCAATAAGCCAAAGTTACAGCTGAGTAAACAAAAAACAACGGATTTCGTGTAAAACAAAGCAAAGCTGAGCCGTCGTGGAAACAAAAGCAAAGGCAACAGAAGAGAACCTGGTGAATGGTAACCACGGCATGCACGCCCGTGCAGAGGTGAGCAGGGAAGGGAATCCGCTGGCATTCCAAGAGGACACGTCGTCCTCAGGCCAGGCGGCCCCTGACCCCTGTCCAGTCCCGGATGCGAGGCGAGGCCAGGCCCCCATGCTATGCTCGATGCTGCCTCAGGTGAAATGGACGTGTCTGTGCGTCTTCGGTTATCCACTGGTCGGTCTGCTCCTCGAATCGAGAGTAGGAGTAGCCCTGGCCGGCCGCTGCAGAACTGCAGTGCTGCCCCGTAGCAATGGAAAAAGCATAGCGCACTGTTCAGGCATGGTCACCAGTCACCACTCAAACTCACCCGTGCCACACTTCACTCCACAGTGACAGGCCAGAGCCAGAGCAACGCAACAAGCGCTAGCTGATGTCCTCGTCAGCTCGATCAGCTTCGGTCGTCAAGTGGCAAATGTGAAAAAAACAGGCGCCGATAACACCTTCCTGCTGTGCCGTCTGTGTGCCGATCGAGCTCGCCGGCCGGCCGTGCGGAAAGGAGGAACTGTGGATATGATGATCCTGATCCTGGCGTAGGAGTAGCCTGCAACTCCAATCCAATGCCGATGGGCCCGTTTCCTTCATTCCTTTCTTTTCAGGCGGATAGTGGCAGCAATGAGCAGGGCTGTGTGCGACCTTTATCTTTTGCCAGTTATCATCAGATATACTCCGTACTAGCATAAAAAGGTTACGAGGGGAAGAAAAAAGGATTCCGTAAAATAAAATGATGCAGCCACCACAGCAGGCAGCCATGAATGGAGGCATGGAGCCTACTGCTGCTATACTACAGTGATCTAACAGTGGGAACGCAGAGGAGCATGCAGCTCAACAAGGAGCAGCAGACCCAACCCAAAAGCTGAGTGGGGCTTCTTGCATTGTTCTTGTTCGCAGTCGCCGCAGCTTCAGCAGCAGCAGGTAAGGTCCGTCAGTGCAGTGGAAGTCCACGGGCGAGAAGGCAGGCGCCGGCCAGGCAGAGCGCAGAAATTGTACGCATGGCGGGAGGAGGACATGCGCAACGTACAAAGATTTCGCCATCTGGCCATCTCTCCCAGGCAGCCAGGCCCCCCGTGATGATGGACCTGGCCTGACCAATGGCG